TCGGAAGTCGCAGTGCATTCTGTTCCACACAAGTCTGTGCCTTTAACTGTTTTCAGAAGCTCGTCTAATCAGCCAGATGATTAGCGTGCTCACATAGGTCTTTAATCCTTCCCGTACGGTTAATGAACATATCAAAAATTTCAGTTCTTGTCCTGCTTGATCTTAAGTTTTTTTGACGGTTATTTGAATTTAATCTTCAGACTACAGATCATGATAAGCATAGCAGGAAAAAATGTTTCAGGTGATTTGTCTCAACGAATTAATGACCTTCTAAAGCCTTGTTGATTCGGACAAGGAAGTCAACATTTAAGACTACTGGTATACAAGCAATAGAACTTGAGATTGGATTTTAGGTCTCAAATCCACTCCAAAAAATCATTTCTCTTCCTGTGTCCTGTCCTACAAGCTAAGGTCTAAAACCGCGTTTGTGCCCCTTAAACAAAACTAAAAAACCAGAAAAAAATTATTTCGCCAAGCAAACTGAAATGGGAAAACTGAAATTAGGTTTGTCATTTCTCTCCAATTACCTAGAAATTTTAATTCGAAAATAATTCGCAAATAGGCTTTTATAGCGCGCGAGCCTTAAAAGCCGGAACTGGGTTCCAGATCTCAGTGTAATCCGCGACCTGTAGTAAAATTTCGATCTACTTTTTATGACCGGCTAGCCAAGGGTACACGTGTTAACCTTCTGAATTAATGTGCAGTCAGGGGCGGTGGTTGTCACCTGGAGCTAAGTAGCCTTACGCCTCAGCGGCGCAAGCACCAGTGCTTCAAAAGCAAAGGTCTGCTCATAAATAAAACTGAAGTAACTCTTACTAGCAGTGTTGTAAGACGGTGGAAAGAAAAAAATAATATTGAGGTGACCCCATAATAAATGCGTACAAGAAGGATGGTACCTCTGGATGAGAGAAGCGCACTGTGTGTGCACAAATGTGCAGACCGTATCCTATCAGTTCTTAGATCACATTACAAAAAAGCTTCAGCAAAGTTTACAGTTGGCCCTTAGTTTCAAATAGACTATATACGAAGGCAGCTGCGGTTATCATTGTGGATATCCATATCACCAGATCAATGGCGGATCTAAGACAAACCCCTGGAAGGAAGGGATGGGAACGACAGGAGGTAAATAGTGAGAAAATGTAAAGACAAGTGGGAAAATGTAAAGACAATACTTCGGATTACTGTGGGGCGACGCGCTCAAAGATAACTAGGTAGAAAAAAAAGAGAAAAATTCTGAAAAAAGTGCAGTTTAGCCATT